TTAGTTCTTAGAGCAGACTAAAAATAGTGATTTTAATTTATTCCTGCTGCCTACAATTACCCACAACCATGTATTTTTAAATATTTCCAGCCTATAAAAATTACTAATTTTTGCCACTTGTGTTTATCTGCATTTAGACTTTGATTTGGATAAATTAAGCTCTCAAGTGTTCCTTGCTTTATGAAACTCTGCATGTTGTACACTTCAACACAAATAAATGACTTGTACCATTAGAGGTTTAAATAATGTAATGTATTTCATGCTCAGCCTGAAGCTGGATTCCAATGAAGTTGCTAATGCACGTAATGATTAAGTGTAACTCAAATACTAACTGTGTTGTTGAAAACATGACAGGCAATAATTTGGTCTATTATATTCTGCCATTTAATTGCCTAGTACAGACATTCTCTGACACGTTATGAAGCAATGATTTACAATTATTCAAGCTGCAAAGGTCAGAAAGTGACATTATAATCATCTACACAGAGATCCCTTCTAATGCACAAAAACTAGGTAATGCCACACACACACAAAAAGAGTTTCACTGCATTAGTAACTTTCTATTTAAGGTTTCTTAAACCAACTAGGAATAAACAGTTCTTAAGCACATTAATACACAATTTTAAAATATCTGGAATCTTGTTATGAACCCAGAGGTGGCAGATTTAGAAAGTATCTTTGTTATCTCCTGATTAGATAAATCTCATTTATATTTAACTATTTAACTCCATACATGTGAAACAAGACTAGACACACAGAAGGCCATAAGTAAACAACATGATCTCTAAATCATGTACATTGAAGTCTATGCTTCTGAAGAAGGGCATACAGAATTTAGGTATCATTTCCTAGGTTTATGAAAACTATAGGTCATTACCAGTTTTTTTATAATTCTCGCACAATAACTAGTACTGAAAAATTTAAAAAACCTAGTTTGCTCAATAGTACACTGCTTATCTTACTGAAAAGATGATATAATCTTTACCCTTTTAGATACTTATTTCTATCAAAAATGTTCAATTTCCAGCCACTAATGTGAGTACAATAACTAACAACACATGAAGAAAAAACAGAAAAACATCAAAATCATTTAAAGAAATATTCCTAAGTAGGAGGAATGACACAAATAAAGAGGGGAGTTGAACAGTAGAATATGAAAGTAAGATTTTGTGCAAGTAACTTTTTAAAAGAAAATAAATTTGAGCAATAACAAAATAAAAGTGGCTACTAGGAGGAAATAGATATGTTACATTTATTATATACTAGAGAAAACAACCTAGAAAAAAGTACAAGTTAAACTAAATCAGTAGTAATAAAAAAATGACAAAAAGCAGAAATACAAAGAAAAAAGATAGTTACAAGGGGAAAAGAAAACAGTAATCCATCATTACTAGTTGCATAATTTAAGTACATCACTAAAAGAATATGCTGAATTTCAAGGCTGCCATCTCTAAGTGAGGATAACAAACAAACGTGAGCTAACCATTCTTACAAAGCTAGTGAAATCAATAAATTAGATTTATGTTAATCGAGACAGTCACTAAACCACAAAGCACTATACCAATGCTATTGAGTATAATACTATTACATATACCCAGAGAGAATTAAAATACACTTAAAAGAATTACCAAAACATGGCATCTAAACTGACTTTTTCAGATTATTGAAATGTTCAAGTTCTTGACTACTAAAAAAATAAAGGTAAGCTTCATGAATGTAATAAAAATACATCTGACTTTTTTGTAAACATAAAATTACTCACTTCTGCATAGAAATGGTTTCCATTATTTTTCTTCTCACTAATCCCTATTTCAGACTCACAGATTTTCATGTTAGCTATTCATCAAGTGCCTAATATAAATATATCTATATTCTATGAAATACCTCTCTTGATTATACTTACTATAAAAAAAAAACCTATTAAGAAACTCTACTCAAAAATCCATTTCTCCTTAAAGCAAAAGTAAAATGACCCTTACATGCAGTTATCTATGACATGTACTTAAAACATGAAGCACAAAGCAGTGAAATTTTACCATGACCTGAGCAAGTAAACATTGCTGAGGTAAAAGTTGAATCTTGAATTCTGAATTCTAATTATACAACAGTAACTAGACTTTTAATACATTTAGTTTCTAATGCCAAATTAAGTTAACTTAAATCCATGATACACTATGACTGAGATGAAAGGAAAGAGATGGAGATCATCTTAAAATTGATAGCTTCAAAGAAAAATCAATGCAGCTCCAGACAACTTATATAAAAGTTACAAGGCAGCTTTTGTTAAGGGAGTCATTACTATAAAACCTTAAAACTGGAGTCCTCATGAAAAACACAACACATTAGTTGATGAGCATTAATAATCTCCTTATACAGTATAAAACTATATAAAGTCAATTACAAATAATCTGAAACACTATTACTGAGCTGTTTCAACAAAACATACAATTTGTTGTTTCCATCCATTTCACTATGACAAAATTATTTCCTTCAAGAAAACCAAAAGGTTTCTAAGAGAAAAAAAGAGTATACTATTTTAAGTAATAATTTCACTGTAAAAATGTGTTCTGCTCTAGTATTTTTAAATAGTATTCAATCAAGACTATTTCAGAAGTAACTACTTACAAGTCAAATAAGAAAGAGATCATCAATACAATTTTAAAAGACTGAGGATAAGATATTAACTACTTAGAGAAAAGAAAACATAGTATAGGACCTTCTGTTTGCGACAAAATTATTATAGAGTTAATGTCCCTGAAAGATCACTTCACCTTTTAAAGTATGATTTTGTAAAATGTAAAATTTATACCAATTAAAGCTAATGAAGAAATGCAGCATGAGCTGCTTATATTCAGGAACTAATGGGTCCACTGAGCATTTCTAAGATTATTTAGCCATCAATGATAATGAATTGACATTGTCAGCAATGTTAATGTACCAATGCTCTCTCATACCACTAGTCTGATAGCCAATCTCTACTTTTGTTTTGTGTTCCACTTTAATTTTTAAGTTACACACTGCCCTATCCCTATGAAATATATTAACTATAAAACCTATAATAATTTTCTTGACATTGTTTCCTTATTCCTGTTTCAACTACCCAGATCAATAAGGATTCTTCAATTTACTGCAATTCTTCAGAATGTTTAGCTTCCCTATGAAAGTATCTACTCTGTTAAAATCATTGCCATGTAAGTTGAAAATTAAATTTCATTTAAAGACAGAGTTATCATTTAATTATCACATGAAATTCAACAGCTACCATAATCTAAAAGATAACCTAGAATGCTTATTCTCTATATACATACACATACCCACACACACGCACATGCACACACCTCTCTGTAGCATTATGAAGCTCAATATATATATTTATTTATAATTCTCTATCTTGAAAAATCAAGTATATAAACTACGAGTGTAACACTTCATTTCTACATAATGAGCAATTAGCTAAACAGAGGGTGTATTGTTCAAATTATATAATTAAAGCCAATCAATTATGAATTGTTTCTAATAAAATAGTTGAGAAATTGTTCTCTGAAAGTTTCTTTTTCTCTTTCCAGGGTCTTAGTAACCCTAATTAAAAAAAAAAAAAAAAAAGAATTAGATTCCAAATAACAAGAATACATAAAATCACATTATTTATTTTGCAGAAATAGGAAAGAAACTGCTTCCTGCCACCTAATAGCAAATTTTCACTGGAGTCAGAGCCACCCTCTCTTCTATAACTCATATGGTAAAAACAATAAATGAGATATCTTTTAAATTTTCAAGTCCTATAGCAATGAAAATGAACCATTTGGCACTTGACCCCTGCAACTAAAACCAGTAGTAACAAAACTCATTCTCCCACTGATCTTTAGGGGGCTTTAGGGCAATGGTTCATCTTCATTTACTTTAGCTGCAAGTCACTGAACCATCAATTCTGCCAATGAATAAATCACTGATTATGCTTAATAAAACTGCTAGAAAGTTATTTATAAAAATTATCTTTAGGGTCAAAAAATGTAACTGCATCCTGGGATAAAATACTATCCAACAAGATAGTATTTACCATCTAAAAGATTTTTAGATGGTAGAATCTTAAGAACCTTCCACTAAAAAAAATAATAATAATATGAATATTGCATAATTTAAATGAACATGTGGTTCTCGGTGAATTAGCTGTAAGAACTCCAGGTCTCTTAGGTTTCACAAAAAGTGTTTTTTATACAATGAACTTATTAATTTCTCTAACATAGTAATATTAAAATATTTTTAATCAGAAGTAGAGTATTAATATCTACCTCTGAATGTCCTGTGATACACCATATATATCACAGTATTCTAAAGCCTTTTAAACATTCTGCTAAATTAATTAGTTTCACATTAAGGCATCTCAAGAGCTTTTTATTACATGTAACACATTTGAATGACAATTAAACACTGTGAATGATTCTTAAGGAAAAGAGCCATTAACTAAAAAAAGAAAACTAGTTTGAAATAAAGTTACATAAAAATATATTAGACACTGCTTTTTCAGTCATCCTCAAATAATCAGTAATCAGCCATCTGAAATTAAATCTTTTGTTGTTTTCCTTATAGAATATGTTCATGGATCAAAGGAATCATTAATGTGATTAAAATTAAAGTAATATAGCAAAAGAATAGAAATACATATACACTCCTAAAGCTATATTACGTATTTTTTATGTCTTTAAATGGAATTTATGGTTCTCTCTGGCAATGTGAATGAACATCCTATAATTTAGTCAATTTACAGATTACAGGTTCAAATTGACCTTGTAGCCCATAAAATTGCTCATCTTCAGTAAAGGATTAGAAGTGGGAGAAGAATGTCATAACTGTACTTAAGGAATTTACCATAACAATGGAAAGGAAGATACGCATGCATAATTTTAGCTACTTTTACTCATATCAGTTTTGAATTCTGAAACAATGGATATCTCACACTGGCTTCCTGGTTCACACAGTAGAGATGACTTCAATTTACTCACCCACAGACATGACATTTGTATTCCCTCATTCCAAGGTGCCTTTTCACATGGTTTCTGGCATCTCCAAGCTGAGCTGTTGCAAAATGGCATATCTTGCACTTGAATGGTTTTGATCCTGAGTAAATTTAACATAGAATATGATTTGGATTTGAATAATACCTTCCTGATAGTTTTTAAAAGAGGGCTAAATCTTAAATCATACCTTTAATCTAATTAAGAATTTCTGTCCCCAAAATGGAATACTTGCATTCAATTATGACCTGAATATACCTGATTCCATAATTATTATACCTAGAAAGCTTTAATGTTTTAATGAGTCTTAATTTTCAATAACATTTTTAAGATTTAAAGTCAAAAGTGATATAGCTGAGCAGCATTAAGTAGTTGAGACAAGCTAAATAATTTTAAATAACATTCTTACAAGGCACAAAAATATTTCTTAAAAGCATGCAATATTTAAAATGGAACATTTTAAAGCATAAACGCATATACAATAGTAAGTATCTTTAAAAGTATTATCACTAAGAACATTTCTTAGTGGCCATTTTCCTCACATTACCCCAGTTTTGAATATGTTCACAGTAATGCTGACATTTCAAATTTTTTGCCACTTAACTCAAATGATTCACTACATAGCTATTTTAATAACATTCAGTGTATGAATACACAGTGAATAAATTATTGTGGTTTCATAGTCATTTTATAGTATAAAATCTATTATGATTCAGCAAATCAGAAGTATTAACATTTTGGTTATTATCAATTTCATGAACAAATATTTCAACACAAAAAAGCATAATGACAGCAATAAAATATTTTTATAATTTCATAAATATGATCAAACTGCACTCAAAAATGATAAAACAATTTCAAATTCAAAATTAGTGATATATAAGATTATAAATGAAATAATAATAATCAGTACCCACAATAATGCAAAACAACTGCTTTAAAGTAAAAAAATACATATATATGCACAGAGATCATTTTCCAATTTTCTAATCATTACATCTTCAAATACATAAAACAAAATCAGAAAGTCACAGTTTATAATCAGTACAATATGTTTCCAGATTTTTCACTTCATGTTTAGTACCTATTTGGTGAAATAACCTCTTCTAATACAGTTACACAGAATATGAAATATGTGAACTTTAATAAATATAAAAAAGAGCTCAAATAAAAAATTACAATAAATTATATGTGATCAATGAACCTTTGTGCAGTGCCCTTGGAAAAAAATATCTTCCAAGAATACTTAGTTGAAACTGAAGCAATCAGTAAAAAATTTTAGTCTTAAATTTCAATTTAATTCCCAAAAGCTGACAAAAAAGTGAAGTGTTTAATTTTAATCTTCCAACAGAAATAAAAAAGTCAACAGCACTGAGCAGGGGCAGACAAGGTTGAATATTTCACAGCTCAATGACAATGAAGCCAGATCTCTTAATACTTCCAATTCTACAGTTAGATATAGATATAAAATATATTTAGCACCTGAATGGTTATATCTAGTAAGGTTTATATGCTTAAATGTCAAAAGCAGGTTGAGATTGCAGCTTACAGCAATCACATTCTATCAATCATATCAGAAGCTACAGTTCATTTAAATGATTCGGATAAAACTAAGCCTACAACTACTCTGAAATACTACATGGGAGACAGAATGCTATAAAGTTTGAAAAGATAAGAATGAGAAGAACTAATTTACCTATACTTTAAATTAAAATGTTTTAAACATATGCAGTAATTAGAAATGTATTAAGAATATTAAACTCAAAAAACAAAAGATAAAGTTCCCCCAATATCAATATGATAATTTGGGGCAATGGACACAAAATATCCCCTAGGTTTGAGTTTTGGCTTCACTCACACAACACCTGTACTGTGACTAGTTCCCACACAAGTGACAGAGGCCACATGGTACCAGCTGTGGGGTCTTGCGTGTTCACATTTGGCTGTCCCTACCTCCTTTGTGAGGAACTTAGCCCTGCAGGTCTCAGTGATGACTGCTAGAGTGGGTGGACAACACATCAGTGAGTTATTCTGTTAGCTGCTTCACCCAGAGTCACTGAGGCCTTGACTGCCTCATATTCAGAGCAGGCTGTGTTAACATCTCCTTTCTGTACCATAAAAATTTATATACTAGCTGAGGTAATAGCTCTCTGTATAAGAAAAAACATCTATCCCTTTTTGTTTCCCAACTTATAATATTTCGATTTTCAAAACTAGCCCACTCATAATGCTTATAAGGTAAAATTTGTAAAAGCATATATTTCTAAATTTCTCTTTCAGGTCTATTCGATTATTATAAACTTTCGATATTATCTTGAATAGTTCCATTCCTTGGAATAGCATTATACTCAAGAGACTTTTCGTTATTGCTTTAACTTTGCCTGTGAGGTTCTTCAAAGGTAAAACTAAAGAGACTCTAGTTTTCAGCGCATTACTACACTTTACCAGAATTCCAAAGATCTGAAAAACACATTCAGCACTCAGATCTACAAGACATTCCTCAGCTACTTTCCTAATTGTCATGCATAAACAGAGGTGATACTAACATTCACAAAAGAGAAAAAAAATTTTGGCTTAAAATTAAGCAATGAAGTAAGTAGTAAGGAAGTAATACATATAACACGTAATACTTCTCAACTATAGCCTTAATCCTATAACCCTCCCTAAATATGTTAACACTTCATTTGCTCATTCATTCATCTGCTCATTTATACATTCATTCAACAAATTATACTGAGAGCCAACTATATGTGGAGGACATGTGGAGAGGAAGTAGTGAAGGGAGTACAGCCCTGTGATCAAAGCCTACAAATGCACTCTTCAGTAAACTATTTGTTTTCTAAAGTGTCACATACTGAGTTACAAACACTACCACCCCTAGTTTTAGAGTTTTCAATGAAGCTCCCTCCTGTATTCCCATTTGTGAACATGTGTTAATGGCACAAGTGACCAGAGCACTCTGAACATAAACAGAATGGCTTTAGACAATGTCGCAGCATAACAACATGTTCTGTGTCACGTAAAATAAGAGCTTTTCATAGAATAATGCAGCAGAGAAAATGAGAAGCTTTGTCAGTCCTACCACTGAGAGAGAAGCCTTCTTGCTGGCCATGCTGACTGCATCTCATCAGCAAACATATGGGGAAACTTTAAGATGATTTCTTCCTATAATTCTTGATAACCAAAATTCATTTATTTCCTATAATATGCTTTTATCATGCTAAGGATGGGAAGAAAAGCTTATACAAAACATGTAACAAATCACTAAATAGGGAAATAGGGATTGGAAGAGTAAGACCTATTCCAGTTAACCATTAATAATAGTCCCTACAGTACTATTTCAAAAGTCATGTATCAGAAAAGCAATTCATTCTAAGATAACTCCAAGAAGAGAAAGAAAAAAAAAAACTGGATTCAAATATGGAGACCAACTTCCCCAAAAATCAACGTGTAAAATCGAAATGATGGACTGGCACTATATACTCAGGAAGAGTACTCTCTGTGGTGATTCAAAGCACAATAAAAATGTACTAGCTGATAAGAGAAGCACAAGATGTTAAAAAAAAAAGTATGCTAACTTTTACTAAATGTTACAATCAATGATGTAAGTTATATAAGTAGGGTTACTTTGTCACATATTGATAGTTACCTCACTTTCACATCCACATTAACTTGATTTTAAATGCAATTAATACATATAGTCAAGGAAGACTAATGGACTACATTCCGCACTTAACCTGGTGGACATTTTCAAATGGCACAAGTGACCAGTGCAAACCTATTTTGCATTGTAAACGACTAAATAAATCTTAATGGATTAAGAATGATCAGCTATCAACACACAAGGGAAATTAAGTGCTGAAATGCCTACATTGATTATTTTAAATTATTAGCCTTACTCTGTTCTTGAATTTGTATGCTTTTAGTGAGCTTTAACACATTTACAAGACTTATTGACTATAATTACAAGAGAATTCAAGTAATGGACACATCAATTATAGGCAACATGTCTTGACCAGACAGTTGCATAAAGAATTCTAAAAAGAACTCCATTAGCATCTTCCTCTTAGTTTTATTCAGCTTTATCTGCCTTAAGAGGGCATATTAAGAAAATACGTATTTTCTGTGCATGTGAACAAGCCTAATTTCTAAAACCGTATCATTTTAAAAGGTGAACTGCAACAAGATACTGACAGAAGCATTAATTATGCAAACAAATTAAGTATTTAAACTTATTCCAAAATACAGATCTATCACATATGAATAGTTGAAATCACGAGTACAATGTTTATTTTTACCTAGATTAATCTTATATAGATTGTTCTGCTACTTTCTTCAATGGAAAACTTTTATCTATCTTTAATCACTCTATACTAGTAATAATGCTCCATACTTTTTTATCTTTCTCCTTGTAACCATGCACTAAGTTTCAAAAACTGCTTGAATTTAAAGTATAGCTTTAACAATAAGCCATTATTTAAAAGTACAGTAAAATAAACCTTACAGTTTTAATGAAAATATGTTCATTGAAATGTGAATTTATTATTCAAATCCACTCATAAATTCAACCATGGAGACAGAACTTGTCTAAGCAGAGCACAATGATTTAGAAAAGCTGTCTATTTAAAATAAAGAATGTATGGCAGGTTTATAGAAACAGTGCCTTGAATTTTTACATAAATTTAGAACAGTAGCTTATGTATTTTCCTCCAAAATTTTTTTAATTTCTCCCTAAAATTAAACATTAACATAGAACACTAAATGTGACATAGTATAGAAACTAAATCAAGTGTTATCTCTATAAAAACCAAATCCCCAGTACATATTAACTGAAAAATGCTGACTAAGTTTGATCCATGAAGGTAGAATCTTGTTGCCTAATTACACAGTTGAATACAAAGTATATGACAATGAATACTTTTAAATTCCTAAAATTGTAAAAAATTCTTTATTAAAAGACACAAACTATTTAATATGCCCTCTGAAATCACAAAGTATTCCCAAAGGTATACTGCACAAAACCAAGAAATTAGAACTTAATACCAAAAAGCTGTGAAAGACAAGAGTTTAGCAGAGGCATCAGAGGAGGACTGAGCCTTTTTGACAAAATTTAAAAACACTTGTCAACTAACCTGCCTTGGGAATCACTAAGGCTTAATTACCTCTAAAAATGTTAAGTGTCAACAGTTAGTTATTACAGATGCCCAGGACACCATACTTCAGTGAAATGTGAATTAGATGGATGCCCAACAAGCAATTAGAGGTGGGGTTCCAGACTAAATGGGAACAAATGTCCAAACTTTCTTATTACTTGCACTTTATAGGTAAACAGGCTTCCTACAAAGTTTACATACCTGTATGCGTGCGAATGTGAGCCAGAAAGGCCATTGAATTGCTACTTCGACACATCTTCCCACAGTACTTGCAAACATTTCCTTGGTTTTCCTCTCTCTCGCGGTTGATTTGCTCAGTGTCTTCCACTATATACTTATTCACCTCTCGCAACAATTCCTCATGCTGTCCTTTAATGTGTAGAAATAAATTTTGTTCAGAATCAAAGGGCTCTGTACACTTGACACATTTAAAGGTAGCCCCTCCTTCTGGAAGCTCTTCCACACTGGCCTGTTCATTTCTCATATGACCAGCACTAGCCAAATGCTGGTGAAGGTTGCTTTCTGTATAGAATGATTTCCCACAGAGTAAACAATGAAAGTGTTTCTCTTTTGTAGGATGTTTCATGGCTATGTGGACATTCAATCCACTCAGTCCATCTGCTAAGAAGCCACAATCATCACAACGGATTCGTGTGGACTCACTAAAGGAACTACCTTCAACTTTCTTCTTTTTCAAGCCTTGAGCACAGTCTTTAAAGGGCAACTCACTAATTCTCACTCCCATTGACAGCAGACCCTCTTCTGGTTGGTCTATCAATTCACCATCTTCAGCATTCTTTATTCTAATTATAGAAGAATCAAACTGGCCAAAACTGTACGTGGCTTGCCCTTTATCATCAATACTGATTATAGTTTCGTAAACATCATTACGTTCAACTCCGCTATCAGAAGCTGGGCCATCTTCTTCTAAAATAATTTCAGTTTCATGTTGTGAATTCATCAGAATTTCCTTATTCTCCAGGACAGGATCTGCTTGCATATCTTTCAAATCTTCTGAACTGTGTGCACATCCAACTTTGTTCTGATTACTGCCACCTAGATTTACCTGCTCTTTTGGTGTTCTCATCACCATAGAGGTAGTACCTTCGGCTGACTGCCCCCCAGTGAGGACTCTAGGACACAAGTGTTTGTCGAGAACTTCACCTCTGCTACTTTTTGCACTTCCTTCATTGCTTTCACAATGTGTACTTGAAGCAGTTATGTCATTCAACATATCATGGTTTTTCTTTCCAGTCTCACAATTCAAATCTAAGCTTCCTGAATTTTTATTTTGAAATCCACTTGAGGAGCCAGAACTAGAGGAAATATTAAGGGATACCCTCTCAGGTTTAATACCTTTCTCCTTGGCAAGGGACTGTTGGAAAGTCTCACAAAAGGAACGGTCATCATTGAGATTAGATTCTTCTTCAGTTTCAATTTCTACAGAGTCAGGAGGACAGAGTACTTTAGACATATCTAAATTAGTATTCTCATCTAAAAGAGAACAACTGGCAGCATTTCTAGATTTCAGATTATCAGATGTTTGGTCTGAAATTATCTGAAATTCTTCAGTGTTCTGTGACTGCTCCTCTTCAGTTATGACAATGTCTTTGGACACTTCTGTAGAACCTGCTTCTACATTAGAAGAGTTCAGATAAGACTGCCTTTTCATTTTGTGCTTCTCTGTTGCTGCATGCCTTGTCATCTCTCGACGAGTCACTGCATAGTAATCACAGGCCATGCAATAAAACTCAAATTCTTTTGTATGCTTCCGTTTCACATGCAGCTCTAGAGAAGCAGAAGAGTGAGTATTAAACTCACAGTGCAGACATTTATTATCACTTGTACCTGTAATATCTCTCTGGGAACATGCATCACCCTGTTGGAGGTCCTCTGCCTCTAGAGATATTTGTTCCTTTTTATTAGTAAGATGCCTAGTAACTTCTCCATCTACAGAATGAAATACATTTTCAACTTCAATTGGATTTCCATGATCATTTACTGGCTTTTCTGAAACAGAGGTCTCTGACTCCACTGACTTGTTAGCACGTTCATCTGAAATATTCAATGCTGATTGGGTATTCTTTTTACAGGCTTCAAGATTTCCCCCTTCAGGACCAACAATGATATCTGAACTTTGTTTCCCATTTGCTTCTATTTCCACTCGTCCTTTATGTTTCTTGGTGGCACAATGACGCTCCATATCTCCCTTAGTTACAGTATAATATTTACATACTTTGCATAAATAGCTATACTGGTGACTGTGTTTACGTCTAATATGAACAGTCAAATTTGTAATACTGGAGGCCAAAAGACCACAATGTGAACAGGTCCTTGAGACATTGCCTTTGGGTCTCCCTCTCTTTGGAGTAGTGGTCAATGCTAATTCAGCATCTTTAGTAATGACTCCAGACTGTGACAGTTCCTTAGGAGCTGGTATGCTCTTCTCAAGATAGGTATGTTCTTCTAATTGCACACCTATGTGGCCTTCACTCCTTCCATTACCAGAAATGTTAAACTCTTCTTTTTTATCATTTGCACCAATACATACCCTTTCAATACATTCTTCAAAGCTTAAGCCAATATTATTTTTCTTGGCATTCTCAAGATGCTTGCTTCTTTTAATGTGTTTCTCCATTCCTTCTTTGCTCAATGAATAAAGATTGCATGCTTTACAAAGAAAATGATAGTCCTGACCATGCCGAAGCTTTATGTGTCTTGTGAGAACAGTGGAAGATCTAGTTTTATAAAAACACTTCTTACATTGAAACTGAGGCTTACTTGAGTGCCTTACCTCATTTCCATGGCTTACCCTGGACTTAACAGGTTCTTCTTGAGCTGCTTTCCCTGATTCATTCATAGACTTTTTTGTGTTTTCTAATTCCAAAGTACTTAAAGGTAAGGTCTGTAAAACCAAGTCATTGTTCAACGATGGAGAAGTCTTTGGTTGAACCAATAAACTAATATGTTTCTCAGTTGCACTGTGCTCTTCCATGTCTTTCTCAGACAAAAACAGATTACAAGAGTGGCAAAAAAAACCCATCCCATGCTTTACCTTCATGTGGTCTCTAAGATTTATCTCATTCAGAGAAATAAAGGAACAACATTGACAACTTAGGACAGAATCAGTTTGTTGATGCTGGTTATTGTGCAAATGTTCCTCTAAATCCCTCCTTGAAGTACCAGAAAAGTCACAAGTCTGGCAGTAAAATTTCATCTCTTTTGAATGGAACCTTTTCACATGGATTTCCAAATCTGTCCTATTTGTAGCTATCTGACCACACTCTGTACACGTATACACCATCTGGTGGTCAAGAGCTGGCTTCACTGTCGGGGAGTTCAGCTGCACAGAACTTGGAAGATGGGAGTTTATCTTGTTCTGTATCATTTTCTGGGTGTCTGAGGCAGTCACGCACAGACTCTGGACATCACTGTTCAATTCTTGGTGTTTCGACATTGGTTCTGCATCACTTGTTTTCATGGGCGTTCTAAAATGTTTCATATACATCCTCTGAGTTTCATTTGTGCCTCTTTTATTAATTCCAGAAAGATTAAACCTTTTCTTTGCCTGGCCCTTCAAGATAAAAGTGCCACTTCGTCGCCGAAAGCTATTACCCAACACTAGAATGTTTCTCTCAGGCCTTGGCCTGGAGGTGATACTGATACTATGTACAGTCTGTAGGATATTTTTGGTAGATTCTGATTTATCTAAAAGATCCTCTGAGATTACATCTCCTAGCTTTTTACTCTGGTCTTCAAGATTTCTAGCTGTACCAAGAGAGGTATCATTTTCTTCAACAATCTCTGCTTTTTCTGATAAAGTATTATTAGATGGCACCACTTCAACAAGGAGCTCACTGCTGCTACTGCTATGCTGAGAAATGCTTCCTCCACAATCTTTAAATTTGCTCCCAGGGTTGTGTAATCCTTTTGGATTCCCATTCTTTGTTCTTGGTTTTGCTTGAATATTCTTTGTTCCCATGGTACATGTTTTTTTAGGAAAAGGTTGTTTTGTTAAGATCTGTACAAACCCTCCACGAGCAGCAAGATTCTGTCGCCGGAGATGTGTTTTACCAAGATAATGTGCATTCAACAGGTTTTCTTCCCCACACTGGAAGCCACAAAGATCACAAGAAAAGACTTTCTGTGCCCCATGTGTGTGTTTGCTATGGATATGGAGAGCTGTGCTGCTCTCTGCTTTGTGGCTACAGTGACAGCAGGCATGTTTTTTAGCCTGCTGCCCAAGACATTCAGCATGTTTTTCCAAATCAGAGTGAGAAGAAAACAAATGACCACATATGCTACACTTGAAAACTGTATCTACATTTCCAATGGTGCAACTAACACTCATTTCTTTCAGGGGGAAAGGAGATTCTCTTTCTTTGACCATTTCCTGAGCAAACTTGCTTTCAGTGTCTGTGTTCAGAGAAACAGCATCAACAGTTTTAAAATCACAAGAGGATGAAAAGGCATTTGGAAGATCTGTGTCTCTGTCTGAGCAGTCCTTCAGGAAGGTCTCCTTTCCTGCTTCATCTAACAAAACACCTGCTTCAGAAGCCGAGCTTATTGTAGTGTTGAATCCACAGGTGCTCTCCTCCCCAGATTTAAGGGGCTCTGCCTCCTCTACTCTCATTCGTTTGGAAGCATGTTTATTTCTGTCTTCCTCCACAGCAATCCTGCCCAAGCTGGATGACTCTGAAAAACCTCGTTTTCTTGTGAAATTCTCAGAGGAATGTGCTATCCCATCAAACACAGGCCCACAACTGTCATTATTAGATGAAATACTTCTCAAGTCTTTTGGTTCCTTGTTTATATTTTCATCCTCATCATTGTCAGGTTTATTATCAGAATCCATCATTAATAAAGTGCTGATGATTTTTCTTGCATCAAAGGAGGCTTAACTGGCACTCAAAACCTGTGAAGTAAATGAACATGATATTTAGCCATTGAATGTAAAGAAAATGCACACAAGTCAGTCTGAAACTGGATGAAAAAAATACCACGAAATTGGCCTCATGCAATTTCCTTTATATATTTAGAATGTGATTACATGTAAAAAGTTCTTTATGAAAAGCATGCAATCTAATTTGTAGAACACCACACTACACCACCAATGACTCAAAGCAATGCTATGGTACCTCTGAGAGAAAAAAGGGATACTTTCAGACAGCCCACAAAAACACAAAAATCAAACAACAAAAGAAGAACCCATGTTTTAATTCTCTAGACCAGATTTCAGTTGATTACTTTTTTTTAGTTTAACAGAGAATCTCTCCTTTCAAATTACATTTCAGTGAGGGGCCGGGGATTTAGCTCAGTGGTTTCATCACCTGCTGTGCAAGCGCAAGGACCCGAGTTCGATCTCCGGTACCGAAAAAAAAAAAAACTTTAAAAAAAGGGCTGGGGATTTAGCTCAGTGGTTCCAGCGCCTGCCTCGCAAGCACAAGGTCCCGAGTTCAATCCCCAGTACCAAAAAAAAAAAAAAAAAATTACATTTCAGTGAACGCCCACTCTGTAAAACGGACAAGAATAAAACTGCTAAGACAGAGGCGAAGTCTAGAAATTAGACCTTTCCTTTCTCCACCTCCCAACAGAAACCCAAGTCCTGGTGTAAATGCACTGTGTCCGTCCCTTCCCCTAAAGCACTATGCTTTTTCTAAATAGATACAAATTAACAGGATGTACTATATATTCCCATCATATATCACCATTCATTTTCAAGTTCTTTTGCCAATGAAAAGTCACTGCTATTCCAGGTGTGAATTATTAACCTCCTTTTCTCACACTAATTGTGTGTTGTCAGATAGATAGTAACAAAGGGAAATGCCAGTGGTACAGGAGAATTAAAGAGAGAAAACTCTGTATTAAATGAAATGCCCTAAAATCATTATCATTTATTTTTTTCATGTTATATAATTAAATTAAAACCTATCATTCTCCATTTGCTTTACACTACGATTGAAATTTTCAGCCAAATGCCATTTAACTTTAATAAAGTCATCAATGTATTAAGCTTCAAGCTAACGATACTTATTTTAACTATTCTAATTATTTTTTCATAATGCTGATAAATAAAATGAAGCCTGTTATTTTGATTGTGCTAAGAGTAAGAAAGAAAAAGCAATGCATTAGATGCAGCATCAAAAGCATAAACAACAGAAGAAAAAACAGGTAAATCCGATTTCATGAAAATTAAAAACTTCAAAGGACACTGGTTCAGTGCCACTGAAAGTGAAAAAAAGAACCCACAGAACGGGGGAAAACCTGCACATCACATTTGCATCTAGAATACATAAAGAACTCTTGCAACTTAATAAAACATAAACATTTTGAAATAAGCAAAGAATCTCAATGTTCATTTGTCCAAGAAAAATACACAAAATAAGCACATGAAAAAAATACCCTAAATCATTAGTCATTAGAAAAAGGCAAATCAAAACCATAAGGTGATAAAGCGTCCAATTCTGGAGGATGGCTATAATCAAAAAGTCAGATAATGAGTGTTGATAAGGATATATAGAAGCCAGAACTCTCATCCTTTTCCTAATGAAATGTAAAATGGTGCAGTCATTTTGAAATACAGTCTGTCAATTCATCAAACCATTAAATATGGAACTACAATATGATCCACCAATTCCACTCCTAAGTTATATGCCCACATAAAACTTGTATACATATTTTATAGTAGTATCATTCATATTAGCCAAAAGGTAGAAAGAACCCAAATGTCCATCAAAAGATAATAGATAAATAAATGTGGTAGATCTATACAGTGGAATATTATTTGGCCATAAAAAGGAATTTAATACTAATATAGGCCACAATAAAGACAGAACCTTGGAAACACTATACAAAGTGAAAGATCACATATTGCATGATTCCTATTATATGAAATGTCAAAAAACTGGAAATCTATAGACAGGAAGATCCATATTCCTTAGAGCTGGAGGCAGAGGAAAGGAGAAGAGGGGTGACAGCCAAAGGGTACCAGATCTTTGAGGTGATTAAAATGTGTTAAAATTTACTGTGGTGATGGTTGCACATACATATGAATATTATAATAAAAAATTTAAGATATGTAAGTTGTTATGCATCATCTATACATCTGTAGAGTGAAAAAGAAATGTACAAAGTTGTATTACAATTATAAAAAGTACAATCAAGGTACAGCAGCACACACCTGTAATCCTAAGGACTCTGGGAGCCTGAGGCAGGAGGATCCCAAGTTTAAGCCCAAGTCTGGGCATCTTAGTGACTTAACAAGGTCCTGTCTCTAAATGAAAAAATTAAAAAGGATGTAGCTCAAAGACCCTAGATTTAATCTCCAGTAACACACACACACACACACACACACACACACAGACACACACACACACACACTGTTCAATATTAGATACAGTTACGGCTTGCGTCTAGTCTCCTCATAGGAGGACTTTTTCAGAGGTGGCCGGATCTAGAGCATGTGATGCTGGCATTAAGGTTGTGTGATTACTAAATTAGTCCACTGATTAGTTTGGCATAGTTCTGGGTAGGATTAAGGATGCCCCACCCAAGGTGTGAGTGCTACCCACTCTAAAGGGCAGAGAGCCTGGATAAGATACGAGAGGGTCACTGCTTGTCACTTGTCCTTGCTCGACACTTGTTGCTTGTCACTTGCTGCTTCTGCTGCTGCTGCTTGTCTTCTGCTGCCTCCTGCCTGATCCGTTGTGCTCTTCTGCCATGCCACCGTGCCTTGGAGCCAGCCGGTTATGGATTGAAACCTCCACAAACTGTGAACTGAAATAAACCTTCCTTCTTTTAACTTTGGGTGTCAGGTATTCTGTCTCAGCAACAAGAAAAGTAACTAAGACAGATACATTTCCTCAGAATGTGTTCCAGAAAATACAGATTATGTAAGAGGTTAATAGGTATTGGTGCCAGAGATATCCCTGGTCAAATAAATCTAGAAACTCAGGTTTAAATGACGTGTTCTTACCACAGGATTTTTTGGTATACAGCAAGTCCCAATCTCATTCCATTACAGAATTTTTCTTTCTTTAAAACAAATAAATCAAAAGATGCCTTAGAGGGCCGGGGATTTAGCTCATTGGTTCCGCCGCCTGACTCACAAGCACAAGGTCCCGAGTTTGATCCCCAGTACCAAAAAAAAAAAAAAAAGCCTTAGAAAATGCTATTTTAGATAAAGCATTGCTTTTGGTTTCAACATCTGTTATGGAAGAATAAAGCAGGAAAATAAAAGAAGCCAAGTACCACATGTTCCTTCCAAAACATACACTTAGTGCCTATGACATGCCTTTTGGTTGTAGATGCTGGACACACAGCAAACACCACCACAAGATCTCTGTCCCCACTGCGTGTGGCAGCACATGCCTGTAATCTCAGGACTTGGGGAGGCTGAGGCAGGACAGTGGTGAGTTCAAGCTAAGCCCAGGCTACTTAGCAACTTATTGAGACCCTGTTTCAAAATTTTTAAAAAAGAAATTAAAAAGGGTTGGAGATGTGAAAAGGCAGATTCGATGTATAGGACCACCCCCTCCCAAAAAAAGAGGGGGATGCACACTCTGTCCTTTCAGAGCTTAAATGATAAGAACAGCAAGACAATATGTTTTTCAATAGATACACTGTCCAACCCAAGACTGTTACTTTTGGTCAAAATGGAATCATGGGCACTAGATTTACTCTTCACTTGAAAATATATAATATATAACATGAAGCAATAGGATAAGGCAGTGGATATCAGGCACTAAAGGAGAGTGATGCCTAAGAGGAATCACCTAAGTGATCCCCGGCTTACTCTAGAAAAAGTACCAACCAGGTCACAGTACAGGGAGGGGGATCTGAGTTGAGGGGCACAGTTAAGAGAAGGGAGAGGTGCAGAGATCTGGTACTTCCAGAGTATCTCTGCTTAGATACAGAGCTATGCACCTTCACTCACAGCCAGTTCCTGATAACACAGCCCATCACTTCCCACCCACTCCATGCTACAGCAACCACAGTTCAGAATTCTCTCACCAAAGATTAATTTTGCCTCCTCTACAAGTTTGTATGAATGAACTCATAAAAGAAGCTTTTGGGGGGGTGCCTGGCTTCATTTTGCTCAGCATGATGCTTGTATTGCCTGTGTCAGTAGTATGTTCCATTTCACTGCTGAGTAGTCATACACTGTACAGATATAATACAATTCTACTGACGGATGTCTGAGCCATTTCTCTCTTGTTGCTATTATAATAAAAATGCTATGACTATTTTTGTACATATCTTTGTACAGCATATACTTTCATTTCTTTTATGTAAATACCGGCAGTATTCCTGGGTTATAAAACATATATATTTTACTTTTTTGAGAAGCTGCCTGACTGATTTTTCAAAGTGGCTGTATTATTTTGCATTGCCTGGAATGTATATAAATTGATGGATCCATGTCCTCACCAACATTTGATTTCAGTCTTAGTCATTCTGGTGGGTATGTACTGTTTTAATCTGCATTTTCCTGATGACTAGTGATTGTGTTGAATACTTTATGTGCTTTGTTAGTATTTTGCCCATTTTTTCATTTGGTTGTTTATTTTCTTATTGAGCTGTAGGAGTTGCTTATGTATTCTGGATATAAATCCTGCCAGATATATGCTTTACAAATATTTTCTCTCTTCATTTTATTAATGGTATCTTTGATAAACAGAAGTTTTAAATTTTGATGAAATCAATGCCATTCCTGTTATGGTCATTTACATGTTTAGTTATTTTCTGTCCCTCCATGCTAGGATGTAAACCATGTTTTATATTAGCCATCCTGAATATCCCCAGAGCCTAGAACAATTCCACATCCTTACAAGGTACTAAAATGAAGGAATGCCTTTTTGTGATATAAGAAATGTCTTAATATTCAAGTACTTACAGATAAAATGAAAAAAGTCT